AATTACACGTAATTTATACATTTTTGAAAAAATATATTACAATTATTTTGAAAAATAAAGAAAATATGAATGGATGAAAAAAAGTTGCATCGATTAAACCGTATACACTCACCGTGAAGGATTTGAATGCGTCAAGTAGGATTTTAACCCTTCATTCAGGGAAGGTGATCGACGTGGTAATTCCAGGTTTGGTGGAACCATTTTTCGCCTCGAGGGATTTAAGGATTTTCCACTTATATGAGCATGCCTCCGAAACTTTTCGTGCCGATAACGCATTGAGTGGTTTGTAAGCTAAAAAGTTTTCGAGCATTCATCACGCTCCTGTCTCGTATCGATTAGAGGGTGAGATTAAAAAGTGTTTCCATTTCCGTGTTCTTCCATCGGGAAAAAACGTAAATCATCCATGATAAGTAAAAAATCAATCTCTTATTTTTCATTACATTAATATTTATCGGTTAATCTTTATGATTTTTAGTATCTTATTTCAAATATTTAATCATATTAATAACATAAGAAAGTATTAATAATTATTAAATATTCTTCCTTTCAGGATTAATTCTAGGATTCAAACTTTAATTCTCTTTCTAGGATTCTATGTTCGAAAGCATCAATTGCTATAATTTCATCTACAGATGTTCTCTTATTGTTGAAATTCCGAGAAAAGTCATTATTGTTTTTTTACGATTTTTCTAACACAAACTGCCACATTATTGAACTAAATAATTCACTATTACACGAGACATATTGAATAATATACAATGATTCAATATAAATTCGATTCTCCATATACTTTACATCAAAATTACCAAAATAAATCGTTTTGTCATATTAAAAAATCACTATTGTTACAAGCATTAATTTAATCTAACCAACGACGAAGAACAGTCAACAATAACCAGAGAAATCAGATTTTTCGATTCGACTCCATATCAAAACCAACAAGCCTCGCGAACACAAAAGAATACAACAAATGGATAACGATAAAACCGCAAAAATATTCTGCATTACCGTCACGTAAATCCTCATTCTCCCCCTTCCGACTACTCTTCAAAGCGTAATAAACCCGACTCAGACACCTAACCGAGCTGAAAAACAATCGACCAAAAGGACGTGGTGAAGAGGCGCCTGTGGAACACAATCTGGAATATCCTTGTAAGCTCTCCCTTCCCCTCTTCTTGTCGCTCGCCTTGTATCTCGCGGGATTACGCGTTTTCGAGGGGGTGCGCTCGCGCGAATTTTTTTCAGGGTGCACCTGCGCTCCGGGTATCGAATGTTGGCCATCGCGATTGCGGTCTTCGGGAAAAACTGGCCGAACCGGTCACGCGTTAAATATCACGGGCCCCCACTGGCCAAGAGGACCAAAGCGAAGCGGCTGCACGAGGTTGCGGTGACTCGTGGTCTAACTCGCGATCGATCCTTCTTTTGCAATATCGGGTACGGATAAAAACATTTTGCGCAACACGAATTCCTTTAAGATGCAGGAATGATCCCGCAATTTGCAAAATGAGAATTTATTCGCCGGTTTCCTAAGTTTTGGATCGATTAAATTTTGAGAGAATTTGATATAACGGAATTTTGAAAAGCCTTGGCTTTTGTAGACGTATTTGTAGACTTTGATAGGTTGTAATTTTGGATATGATTAAATTTTGACCGAATTTTGTACGGTATGGATGGAACTTTGTAATGCTTATAGTTTTTTTTCTTTTTGATATTTCAGGGTCTTTGTTGAACAATTTCACGTGTAATGGAATTTTGCGAATCTTTCGGATTTTTCGGTTATTGATTTTGACGCTGTAATTAAATTTTGGGCAAATTTCATATGTGGAATGTAATCTTTGTGGATCTTTTTTTATGATATGATCTTTGGAATATGAATTTAGCAATGATTAAATAATTTTTGAATTTGAATTTCGTATATAATTAAACTTTACGGACTTTATTTTAGAATTTTTTTAAAGATATTTATATTCTACAATAATTAAATTTTTGAATGTCAATTCATTATAGGAAAATTTTTTGGAGAAAATCCTTGATATTAGTAATCAAAAATTTCAATTAGATTTTTAAATTCAAATTGACCATTAATTTATCTGTAAAAAGAAGTGAATCTTTTATCAACAATTGACGTTTGTAAGATAATACATGTATACAAAATGTATTAATAATTGATATGTTATAAATTTTTTTTCTTATTCATTTAAAGGATAAATTAACATCGCGTATGTAGATCAATTTTGCACGAGGCAAGTCAAAGATCGAACAACTACGAGGATTCATAATAATTGAATAAATATTAAGATTAAATTGCGATAAAAATCTCTACAGAAAATTATCTTATATTCCCATTTTGAAAATTAAAAATTTTACAGCTCAATAATGAAGGCTGGTTTTAATATATTTAATATATTTGCAGTTTCAAAGTAACGATTATATTAAACTTCAATCTTCATCAGCTAAAATGTATTATATTTTTTAATTAACTAAAGTGTACGTCAAATTATATCCATTTAATTTTTATTCTGAATCGTTATTAAGCAATGAACATTCCATTCTATTGCTCGAGAATTCAGAACAAGTTAATTTGTATCTTCTCTCAATTATTTAGGTCGATCTGGTAAAAACAAAAGAACTAGATTTCTAAACTAAAAATAAATTATCTCCACTGAATATTTTCTATAATATCACGCAATTTTCTGCCTTCTTATACCCTTTTTTTCCTACACAATAATCCATAATATACATCTTAAGTCTGAACATCTTACGATCTAACTTCAAAATAACCAATAATCACGATCGATCGAAAGAGCAAGAAATTTCGGTCTAAGAAAAAACATCTCTGTGTTATTATTTGAATCTGAAGAAATTACTTTGAATTTACAATTATATAATATATATTACACAATATTGCCTAATATCGATCAATGTAAATAGCTTAACCATATAATCAGCAAACAAGAGTGAAAGAACAATAAAAGGAAACAAGTTGAACACTCGATAGTGGCGCCCAACAAACACACACACACACACACACACACAAGCAAAATGGAGGCTAAATCGAACGCCGACTGAAACGTATTACACCTTCGGTTTGGCCTCGTGACGATAATACATAAGAATGCCGACGTTCGTGATGATAATACACAGCCTCCTGATTATCGTGCTGTCCGAAGCCTCACCAGGGTCGCCTGAGTTACGTTGTAATGATGGCCAACCAGCGAACCGGTTGTGGCCCTGCCACTGCACTTATTTGGCCCCTAACCCGATCCAAACCAGACGAAAACCAAGAGGGAAAGAAGAAAGAAAAAAAGAAGAAGAAGAAGCGTGGAGGAACCCGCAAAACTGAACCACACACCTGGCCCAAGGATGCAAGAGGGCCCGAGTAGAGTATAGCAAGAAAGCCAACGCGAATTTCGTAATTCGTACGAAACGGCCGTCGAAGATTCTGTAATCATCCGTGATCGAACAAAATATATAGGAAGAGTTTGATGGAGAGGTGAGATGGAAAGATGAAAGGATCCCTCTCGAAGGGTTAAAATGCTTTCTTACACGTAAACTTTTTTGTTACAAAGAGATCATAATTCGTCTTGTTAAAAAGTTAATCAAAAATTGTTGCTAATATTCAAAGATTATTGAAAACTATTTAATGAAACTTTAATACATAAAAAAAGCTGCGATAGTAATGAAAGTATGAGTATGTATGCTCAAAAGAAGGAGAAGATGTGTGAAACAGAAGTTAAGTATAAAACATGGCCAAAGTACATCTCACAGGGAAAAAATTCCAAGAGGAACAAGATACATGGTCTGTAAAAAAAGGACAATAAGCCATTCCTCTCCAGAATTATTGCATCTCCATGCCAGAAAATAAACATTACACTCCCTACGTCATAACTCATAACACCTAGAATCGTAAACTGAAGAGAATGGATTATCATTTAACTTCTTTCTCTCACATGTGATTCAAGACGCTTTCCAATTCGACGCATCCTTTCACAAACGAATCCAAAAGACGATCCGCGAATTTTTCTCGGGGAAAACTCGTCCATTGTCGAAACGCACAATAGATATATATATATTTATATATATGAACATACCTCTCGAAATACGTTCCACTTTCGAAATAACGATCCTCAAGGGTGTGTAGAGTGTATAAATTTCGACGATAAATCCATCATGGCCAAATACTGACCGATATCGAGCCCATGGCCATTTGCCAACTGCCAGAGGCTTCTTCCACTCTTGCGTCTCTCTTGTTGCATTATGCAGTTCAGCCTGCGCTTCCTCCTCCGTCTCATTCCGCCCAACCGTACGATCTCTTTGTATAAATATGTCGGCCGAGACATGATTTACTCGTGCACAACTATTTTCGTCATCGGTCGTCGTCGAGTCGTTGCTGCGCTCGAAGATCAAAACTCTGTGGTGTCAGGGTCAAGGATTCCTTCCTCGTTGTATACGCGTTGATGGACAAAAGCCGATTCTGTCGTTGCCTCGATCGATCCTCTGACGAGACGAAATGGTGCGTGGATATCGTGGTTGGATTTCATTATGGAAATTGTCGAAACAATAATGGATTTCGAGAGAAATGAAAATTTGTAGAACAGGATTAAAAGGTTTAGAATACGAGATATAATCTACAATGTTTATCCGGCATGTACTTAATAAAATATCGCGTATCAACGAATCATCATGGTATTTAACCACTCCTTTTTTACCTTTCCTTTTCTTTCACGATACATTAAAAAAATTAAAAGATTAGAGTTTCTAATTATTGTCCTTTCTACTGTTCCATTTTAGTTAAATTTTGCTTACGAATCGACGCAGACGTGTTATTACCGCGTCAGTTTCAAATCAGCGAGGGATCGGATCCAAAAATTCTTTCGATTCTCTTTTATTGAGAAGGACGATGATGTGTTGATCGAGTCTCGGCGGGAATTTAAACGTTTCAAAAATTCTTGAACGCAAGTTTGGATATTTAGAACAAGGGGAAGAATTTTTCGAATTGTATGTATCTTCTACAAAATCAATCCATGAAAATTAACATGGTTGTATTGAGTCTATTGATATTGTTCGACACATACGTCGTCAATCTGATTCTACTCATTCTGGGAACCAGTTTAAACCTTTTGATCGTTTTGATTATCGTTTGTGTACCTTCCGCGAGGACATCGAGAAATTTCTACGTCGTCTGTCTAGCTTGCTTGAACATTATATTAATCGAACCTCTGGAAGAAATATTCATATGTTTTTTCGACGTAGATATAAATATGGACGTGCGTATAATCAATATCGACGTTTCTATCATCATGATCGTGATTATAAAGTTCGTGCAATACATTGACATCTTTCGGAATCAAATATCGTTTGATCATGTATCATTGAAGAAATATAGAACCGTAAAAGGCATTCTTTTGATTTGGTCCTTGTGCATTATTTCAATCGCTATTTTCTTTCATATATACAATTATTTCAAGAAAGATATGTGGAATATTTACATATGCATCACGATCATATTTATCATCATGCCGTTGATCATATCCGTGTCCATAGATGCATTGACTATTTACGAATTGAAGATATTGAAAGAAATCGAAGAATTGTGGAGGATGAAGGAGTTGAGGCACTATATTATATTGGGTGAGTCGATTAATTAGTTAATGGTTTTTCAATTAAATTTTTCTCTCTTTTCTTTTTTTTTTTTCTTTCTTAGTACTTATAACATAATAAAAGTGGATGGACGCTTCGTATATGAATTCATTTCCATTACGTTCTATAATTGAGATATTTTCAGTGATAATCGAAATCGCTTTCATCCTGTTACGAATACCGTATCGATTGACTAGAGCGATCAATTTCTTAGAGCTCTACTCATTATACTGCACAGACGAGAAAAAGAAACTGCTCTATTTCCTGGTCAAGATGTATCCTTTCGTCTTCTCGCTCATTTATATCTCGTTATCGAATGAATTTCACGAAATCATAATGGTACGTTTAGCCAGGAACGAAAGTTTATTTTATCAAGACAAATTTAATAATTTGAACAATATTTTTCATTGCAGATGATTCTAAGAAGCGGATATCAAAAATTCTTTAAAAGAAATTCGAATATTCTTCAATGATAAGGTAATTGGATATATATATAAATATTTATATATTTCGTCATTACATTATATTTACGATTAAAAATAAATGGATAAAAAGAATCCATCGAAGAGAAGAGATTAATTATAAAACCTTCGATCATATTTCATATTTCCATTCGGCCCATAGTAATATGTATTAACATCAAAAAATGTATTTATAGCACACACAGCGCGTCATCCCTGCATGAATTACTCAAAAGCTCGAAGCATTGCTCTCAAACATGAAAGACGTGCTTTGTGAACGAAGTTAAACTTGAAACACGTATCCCGCAAGTTGATATTCATAACATAGTGGGAGCAAGAGTATCTCAAACTCTTGAATATTATTTAAGTACTTGCACCTAATAAAAACACGCATCATGGCTAAATTAAGAAGAAGAAAAAAAGGAAAAAACAAAGAACAAGGATCTCACAGTGTTTTAATCTAATCTAATACGTGTTTTCAAGTTTTAAAAATCTGCCGATTTTAACTTAATTTACGTACAATGTATCGATACATCAGTTGAAAGATCGATTCGATGCAATCATCAAATATCGATTGAAACTTATATTTATTAAATTATTAAATATTTACTTCGATCGATATTCTTATATATTCCATATTACCATTTCCTTAAGATCGAAATACGTTTCTATATACATAACACCCCATATACTGAAATACAGTTGGATGAAAATTCAAAACCGTCGCGATACACAATACATTTCCATCAATTTTTAAAGATCTACACGATAACTTGTTCGTTAAAAAAAGAAATTATTCTAATTGTAGCAACAAGAAGAAAAACTGCTTAAAATATTACGAAACGAAATACGTCGAAGAAGCAGTCAATAAAACACTCGTTTAACTCGATATATAAGGGACAAGTGGTCGTGAAAACGATATATTAAAATAATGGAGGCGAAACAACTTGGCCTTGGTCCATTCGAAGAACGTTTTCCGCCCATTACGAGCAACACCAAGGGGTGGACGAAATTTGCAAGAGTGTCTCTTGCACAGCCTCTCTCTCTCTCTCTCGTCGCGGTCGCAAAGTCGTGAATTCATTGCGCTCTCTGTATGCAAATTAGGCTCCCTTTGGGCGCGTCTGTCTGAGTGCATAAGTCGATGGAGAGGCGCGCATACGTGGAAACACGCGTGTGTTCGGGTCGAAACGACCACGTCCACTTTGTATCCGCCTGTATCTCGCCGTGGAAAAATAGCTCGAGTCGTAATCTGTTGGCCGGCACATCGCGAAATCGTTACGAACGCCTCGATTGTTCGCCCGTTACGATAGCGACATGCTTCGACGAGACTTACACTCTCCGCTCCGCTTTAAACGACAAACGTGACCTCTCGAGATGTCGTACACGATCGAGCATTCGAGACATTCCCCGTGAAAACGTGAATTTTTGACGCGTGGAACAATGTCACATCGATGATACTGCGAGTTTTGGAAAATTTATGTAGCATTTTTTTCTTTCTTTTTCGTAAAAATATATCTTCTTCTCGAGGAAGGATCGGTTGGAAGAAACGAAAGCGCATGGATTTTGGAAAATTTGGTTTCTTCTTGTCTCGTGGAAATCTTGTGAACGAATAATGTGAATTCGAAGAGCTTAACGAATTCGTCTTTGGAACGGATTGTGTTATAAATACGATACTTTCCATCTGAGAAAAATAAGAATTGGGTTGAAATGTTGGAGGCCATCTAGAGGGAATTTCTATATAGGGATGTCGCACGTAAGGTCTATTTGATTCTCTATCCGCTCAAATAAGGAATAGTTCTCGAGATAATTGCTTAAACATTGTGCGATGGGATGGAATAATTGTAAAAGAAAGATTGCGTTGCCTTGAATGAGTGAAATTGAAAAAGTGATTTCTATTCTCTTTTCCTTCGGTTCAATTTATATTAATTGTTAGATTATTGCAAAAGAGAAGAAAAGAAAAAGAAAAAGAATATGTAATCGCAAAATATTCTCTCATATTAATATTAAAAATTATGTTAGAATATTTTATTCGATCTTTCATCTAATTTTAATATCAAAACCTTAAAAAATTTTAAGAATCCACAGAATGCTCTTGGAACATTTTTACCCATACCACGCACTTTATGAATCCAGAATTCCAAGAACCAGCCATAACGTACTTGCCGTCCTTAAATTCAATTAAGAGGAACATCGTAAGTGAAAATAGGACATCGTTTGTCGTTTCAAATCGAGGATTAAATCTCTCTTTCATAGCGATTCACCATCTATCCAGCCTCTTCATCACACGATTACAAATTCCATCCGCATCGCGTTTCCTATTCCAAGCTTTACCGATTCTGCGAATACGACATCGAGACAAGGACACTCGACGTGTATGTGTGTGTGTACATGCGGTCATATGTGTGGAAAATACACGATTATCGGTCGCAAAAGAAGGTGTACCGACGGAGGGAGATGCATCGTACGTGCCGAAGAAAAAGAAGACCTCGAAGAAACAGGAAATCAGTGGAGCGGAAAGCCATCCTACCAGACGAGACTTCCGCCACGGTCTTTCGGTCAACTTAACGTCCTTTACTTCCAACATCGACATTGAGACTAAATCTCTTTTTTGCACCAATGAAAATATAATTCTTCCTTGACAGATATATTTTATTTAACGAAGAATGGAAGCAAAGTGGAGATGATGATTCAATCTTGATATAATCTTCGTGAAATGAAAAAAATTTTAACTCTTTCAAGCGTTGACTACGTAATCATGTATACGAATTATTATAACAATAAATAAAATCGACGTTATTGAATACGATAAAAAAAAGGTATGAAAAGAATTATGAAATTACAGAAGAGAGATTATTACTTTTTAATTTTCCTAAATTAATTTTAAAAAATTAATTAAAAAAATTTTAAAAAATTCTTCAAAACGTTAAATGTTTAAAAGTAAAATATTTAAATTTAGTTAATTATGTATGACGAAGGAAACCATAAAGGAATTAATTTTTATTATATGAGTGTATTCTTCACTTTTGTGAATTTAAAAAACAATTTTTTTTAAAATATAGTAACCCCGGATTGATATTATCTTTTGCCATTCGATCAATTGTTTCCTACGAAATTTAATTTGGAAAGTAAATCTGTTTGACTCGGCCATCATGATAAAAATTCCATTGGCGAGAGAAAAGTAACAAAGGACATTGTTTGCGACGAACAGGCGTGCAGTGAAAAAAAATAAAGGCGAATAAAGCTGTTTGTCCCTTCAACGTTGTCCCGAAAGAATAACACCGCCAAAATTTGCTTATGAATAACGAGTATCGACGTTCCGTCCGATTGTTCAAAAGGTATCCTCTCGATCCGCAAATCGAGAAACAAAACGAAAACGTTCCAGTCAAATTCATCTCCATTGTTTCAATCTTGTATTATTATTTCCATTTTTCTTTCTTTTCTTTTTTTTTTTTTTTCTTTCACGTAAAAGGAAAAAAACATATATGCATCATAGAGCATATACCACAATTGGAAGAGAAAAATCGCCGACGAAGAAATTACATTAACGGTTAATTTCACCTGGTACAACATACAATCTCACGGTTGATATATTCGTGAACATCCTACAAAAGCCCATAATAAGAGAAGGCTAGGGAAAGAGTTCTCCATAACGTGAGATACTCGAGCACAAAGAAAGTTACACTTCGTAATATAGGACAGGCGTTTAACTTTCCCCTGTGACTGTGAGCCATTCAGAAGGCATTCGAAATTTTAAATCCCGCTCTTCCGCAATACCTCGTACTTATTCTTCGCACCTTAGATTTCTTTGTCGTCGAAGAATGTTTGAAAAATAATAATAATATCGAATTATTGAAAAGTTTTAAAATCTTGAGATGCGAATTTTATCAGAATTTTATTCGAAATTGACAGATCAACGATAATCAATTAGCTCGCAAAGACCAGTGTATGAGTTGCGAAAAATAAGTTCAATGCAATTCGTTTGATCGTAGATTTAAAAATGCAAATTGAATGAAAATTATCTTCGAAATCGTTTCGTAACATTTTTATTCGAGTTTTCATTCTCCATGGAAGACTCCATGGAAGAAAAGAAGCGATGGCGCGTCACGCACAGAAAAGAAACGGCACAAACATCGATGCGAATGCGTAAACGCATTAACGTTGAACGTGTGAATGAAACGCAATATATATACGCATAGAAACTTCATTCATGGGCTTCGAACGGAAAAAGCATTCGCTTCGATTACAATCGCGAGGAGAGAGCCTCGAGGGGATTGAAACACTCGCATCTTTGTCGAACTTTTTTTTTTTTACACCGCGAGAAAGTTGAAAAGTTACACGATACAAAATTGAAACGCTTCCTCCGCGCGCGGAGGATCAAATTTATTTCCAATCCCACGTTTCATTTCCGACCAGCGCAGCGATTCGCTCCGTGGAACAACTTTTACCAACTTTTTTCCTTCGATTTTTATTTTTTTCTCTCCCCTCCCTCCTTTTCTTTCTATGTTAATTTCGTTGTTAACTTAAAAACTCGACTATTGAACTATTTTATTTTTTTATTCAGAATTGGATACTGTATATCTCTGTTAAATTTATAATCGTCCGGATTCTTTTAGGGATGATCGTAGCTTGCATATCCAATAATGTACGAATTTATCGATAAAAAATAATGTTGAAAGGATCTCAAGATTGATGAATATTTCGCGATAGGAATCGCGATTACGTGGCGGAAAATGAAAAATCGGCGCCCGAAGGCTCGATTATCTCTTCCTCCTCGTGTCCAAGATTCATATTTCTCGATGCGAAACGTCGATTGACAAGCGATGAAAGAAACGATCATTTCTGTAAAACTTTACTTTGATCTTCCATTTTCGAAGAATATTGCAATTTAAAAACAAAAATCAAGTATGGGATAAAATATCTCCAATATCTCCAATAATAATTATTATCACATACCAAGTCCAAGTATCAAAATAAATATCAAATTTTCTTAATCATCGTTGTGAACAAACTTTATAATCAAGAAACAAAGAAAAATTCATTAATTTCCTCCATTGTCCAACGTCACAAATTTAAACGTCACTTAAATTTCAAAAGTTAATTTTCCAAATCATCTATCATCGTATCATCGCTCCAATTAAAATCACTCATTCTTTCATCTCCTATTCCATAGAGAAAAAGCTAGTTCCATGTACGAGGAGTTCTATCTCAGCTACGATATCGCTTGTTCAAAATCACCCCGGACCCATCCCACACGAAGGATGTCAGGGTTTCTTTCATGGACAAGCGGCGATCGATGCACTTCCACGACACCCTGTATGCGGTGGAAGCCGGAGGCTAACGCGTGGGTGGGCGTCTCGCAACGAGGGGCACAGGCGTCTCGA